CCCCTAAGTGGGTACTAAGAAAGAAAAAGAAATGATTCACACTGCCCCACAGGTGTTTGCAAAACGCAAAGAAGTTTTGAAGTTCGATGGCGCCGAGCTTTCCTGTGCTTCTTTCGTCAGAAACTCAAACAAGAACAACAACCCGTAGCCTGCTGTCCTGTACCGTCGGGGCAGAGGGGGGGAAACCAACTTGAATTTGCAAGTATGAAGTATATTTAAGTATTATTTCGAAGAAAACAGAATGCTATGATGCAAAAGAACAGCGGTGAAGCCATTTCAAACCAAGCATGCGTACACAGCGTCTACGCAGCAGCCCGAGGCACTACCGGCGGCGGAGAGGCCGACCAGCCCACCGGTCCTGCTGCGCGATCCACCACTATAAACCCAAAATTTTCAGTATTTTAATATTCAATTGAGAAGTGTTTTTGATTTTAAGAGGATTTATCCAAGGGATACCGCCAAATGCACTGCTTTCTCCTGCGTGCAAAGCTCTAAGCCGTGGCTTTCGAGTTGAACGGTTCTGCCGACAGCATCGTCATGTTCGCTGCATCTTCTTTGCCTTCTTTTGAACCAATTTCAGCAATACACCCGTTTTCAGTTCTTAATCCACTGAAACTTTCAGATTCAGTGGTTGATAGAGGGGGAGTTAGCACAGCCGAATGTGTGTTTCCGGTTTCTGCATTTCTCGCTACGGCTTTTGAATATCGATTGCTTTCTTCTCCCGGTATACTTCTTCTGCTCGTAAGAGTCTTCAGATGCCCAGAACCTCCCACTAACAACGCTGTCGTGTGCGTGTAGGGGGTCTCACCTTCAAGCCTGTGCGCAGTGCATTGGGCTCCGCGGGCACACAGGATATTCCCCTGTCCGTACACCTGGTCAGCTTTCCCTCATTTATTGAACAGAACGATGAGCTCTTCTATGCCCATAATGCTCCCCTGGGGCTCGAGGGCCCCCCCTGGGGGTCTGGGGGGTCTACCGGGCTCCGCGGTGCCTATGGAGGGCGCCGGCTTCTGTGGTTTAGATGAGAGGCCGTGGGGGCCCCCAGGGGCCCCCCCCCGCCTCGTACCCCAGGGCGGATACCTGCGAATGTCGCAGTCTCTCAAGTGGACCCAGGGAGGAGTTGTCGTCGAAAGCCACTCCGCCAGCGCGCAGGTTCTGTGTTCTGTGGGGCCCCCAGCAGCAGCTCCGGTAAGGCTGATGTTTGTTTGCTTCATAAGAGCGATGCTTATCACTGCATTTTCTCTATATTTGCTTTCTAGAGAACAGAAGAGGAATGTGTGTTACACCCGCAGACAGCAACAGATGCCGCATGCATAGAAAGCTTAAAAGCCCATTCAACCCCTAGCAGGATATATAAAACAAATCAGAAAGGAGCAGGTCTTCTTGCTGCTGCTGCTGCTGCTGCACACTGAAACACATTGCTGAGGTGTAGGGTGGCAGCTGTGTGTGTTGTGTGTGTGGCGATGCAGACGAAGAACTTTGGTTCTTCAGGCCGCAGCAGCAGCAAAACGACATTACACAGCAGCAACACAAACAGCTGGGGGGCCTCGCCGCAGCTGGGGGGCCCCAGAAGAGGTACTGGGGGGCCCCCAACCGTACCCATTGTGGCGTCTGCTGCTTCTGTTAGCGCTCACTACACCGCGGGGGGCCCCGCAGGCAGAGGAGAGGTGAAAGCTGTGCAGTTCGTGAGGAGAATCGAGGTCGTACACACCACCACTGCTGCAGTGCAGCAGCAGCAGCAGCAGCAGCAGCAGCAGCAGCAGCAGCAGCAGCGGTACAGCAGGAGCAGCAGCAGCAGCAGCAACAGCGCTTGCAACAGCAGCACTGGGTCGCTTGCAGCTGCCTATGGATTCAATACAGGCATCGCCGAGGCCCTTGAAGGTACCCAGCAGATATATAAATAATAATTTGTGTTTTTTTATTATTATTTATATATTTATAATATTATTATTTATATATTTGTAATAAACA